CATGTTATTGGTCTGTTCAGGTATTCAGCTTCTTCCTGGTTTAATCTTGTGTGTTTGTATGTTTCTAAGAATTTATCCATTTCTTCTAGGTTTTCTACTTTGTGTGCAGAGAGGTGTTCATAATAGTCTCTGAAGGCTTTTTAAATTTCTCTGGGGTTGATGGTAATGTCACCTTTGTCATTTCTGATTTTGTTTATTTAGATCTTCTTATTTCTTTATTAATCCAGCTAGCCATCTATCAATCATTTTATTCCTATGAAAGAAATTTCTAACCTATAGGTACAATAACCTCAGACAATTTTTTTTAGGCAGATACATTCAGAACCTTACCATGGCGTGTATCATCCTGTGCTGTGACTTTGTTCCCCTTTACACAACATCCTCCTAGAAGCAAAGTTCCCATGTCAGGAATCTCTGTATCCCACCTGAGTACTAGATGCACCACACGTAAACACAGGGATGTTTTCACAAGAGTGTGAGTGAATAAATCTATTCAGTTGCCTGCTAATCAATCAAAAAGATAGTAAACAACTGTAATAATTGGGATTTCTGTGCTGATGTTGTTATGGTAATTTTTAATGTCAGAAAAATCAAAGCATGTCTTTTTGTTAGAAGTAGGACATCCTCAGGAAGATCAAGACAGTAGCTTCTGCCCTGCTGCCTCTCATTCATCCTTTAATACATGAATCAATTAGTTCACATGCAATGGACTCCAAGTAGCAGAAACCCCAAATAACAGTGGCTTAACTGTAAGGACATGTATTATTTACTTATGTGGGATATTAAAGGCAAGTGACTCCAGGGCTAGTTCAGCAGCTCAGCAATGTCATCGGGGCATAGACTCCTCCAGCCTTCCAATCTACCATCCTCTGGTTAACGCATGGTCACCATGTGGATGCTACAGCTCTATGCATCACATTCTCACTCAGCTGTGTCCCAAGGCAGGAAGTGTGTGTGTTTGTGTGTGTGTGTGTGTTGGAGGGGACAGCAGAACTGTGCATACAGGACAGTGAGAAGCTCTTCTCACAACCGTCTCTTCTTTTACCTGGGAAGACTTCCTAGAAGCCTCCTGGCAGACTTTCTCTCACATCTCAGGCCACATGGCCTCCCCTAAACCAGTCACTGGCAAAGGGGAATAGGATTACTGTGCTTAATTCCAGCCAACCATGATATATCTGACTTCTGTTTAAAAGAAAGAGGGAATTAACGTGAAATAGGCAACTAGAAATGTCTGCTTTGCCACACCTAGTCTTCAGCTGTGTCATCCAGTCATACCTCCAAAAGCTCACTTTTCTTCCTGGATTATCTTCTGGCTATTTATATCATTTTATTGATGGTTTTTAAAAGTCATGAACTCAAGGAGGAGCCTAAAATATATGGGCCTTGCCCAGAATTACAGGGCTTCAATGAGTCATGTCCTTTCTCTGTGCTGGCTTTATTCCGGAACATTTTTATGAGTTGTAATTTACAAGATCCATGTTTTTTCCCATTTTAATTCACATGTAAGAGAATAATGATTCTTATGCTTATAGCACACTTACCTAAAAGAAAGCAGATTGTGGCTGGGTGCAGTGGCTCATGCCTGTAATCCCAGCACTTTGGGAGGCCGAGGCAGGCAGATCACCTGAGGTTGGGAGTTCGAGACTAGGCTGACCAACATGGACAATCCCCATCTGTATTAAAAATACAAAATTAGCTGGGCACGGTGTCACATGACTGTGGTCCTAGCTACTCGGGAGGCTGAGGCAGAAGAATCACTTGAACCCGGGAGGCAGAGGTTGTGGTGAGCCGAGATCGCGCCATTACACTCCAGCCTAGGCAAAAAGAGCGAAACTTCATGTCAAAAAAAAAAAAAAAAAAGGAAAGAAAGAAAAGAAAGCAGATTGTGTTAGCTGTGAGAAACACATCAGGGGTCTCATCGTGTGTGTCAGGTTGCATCAAAAGTTATAAACGGCCACAGTGTTTTCTTTTTTGGCGAAAATTTTGATCCCTTTAAGTGAATTCAGTAGTGCTTTATTTCAGTAATTGGAATTACTTACTTGAGCTTTTTCTAGATGAAACCAGATCTCAAAGGAAGTGCTTTCCAACTGCTTTTCAATACATACATGAAAGCAAACAGCAGCTTATCCACTTTCTGAATGGCCAGTGGTTCTCTAGCACATGGCTGTCCCCAGAAAACAAAATTCCTCAAATGATAAGCCTCACTTAGTATATGTTCCAGTTTCTTTCTGTCCCGGATTGGACTATCCTGGAATTCCTGACTTGCATCTTTTATGAATCATTGTCAATTGATGTAAGAAATGTCCTAAAAGGGCTTTGAAAACTTCTTAACATATGTACTCCTCCCATCCACGTAAAGAAATATATTCCTGTGAGTGAGTGGCATTCATAAAATGACACAAAATTAGATAAGCTCTCTAAATACCTTGCTTTTAATTAAACATCCCTGGAATTGCATGGTGTGCATTTCCCTGCAACATATCAGGTTTTGGCTGATGTTTGTTTTTGTCAAGAATTTGTTGATTTTGAAACATCTCTGGGCTCCCATTTGGGGTTGGTGTGGAACTGCCTCATGTTGACAGCGTGAGCAGCCCCATTTCCCAGCAGATGGCCTGGCAAGACACACAGGTGGCAAAGAACATGCCAGTGCCTTTCTGCCCAGAAATTTTATCACCTGTCTTCTCTTCCCTAATGGCCATTATAGGTTTCTTTGCAACTTCAAAACCGTAATTTTGAAGGTAGCTGAGGGAGGCCATTTGAGGGGCGTTTTCTTCTACCTTGTGCCTTCATTTGCACTTATTCTTAAAAGACTGTTCTCTTACAGCAGAATAACTGGATTGTGTGAAATATCTTAGGGAGATAAATAATATTTGATGAATGTAAAGTTAGTAGACACATAGGAATTTGCCTTTTATACCTCTTCTGGTTTTTTAAAATTTATTTTTAAACAGTACCAGAATACACACACATGCCCTCCAAAGTGAGGAATGGTGTTCAGAATGGTTCTTCTAGTTGCTTAGACTATTTTTGGAAGTTCTCTTTTAGAATTGGCCTATAGATGAGTCTTAATGCTTATAAGCAAGCTGCAGATGCTCCTTGACTTACAATGAGCTTACATCCCAATAAACCCATCATAAGTTAGAAATATGGTAAGCTGCAAATGTACTTAATACACCAGATCTACCAAACATCATTGTTTGGTAGATCTGGTTAAGGCCTAGCCTACCTTAAACATGCTCAGAACACTTATATTAGCCTACAGTTGAACAAAATCATCTAACATCAAGCCTATTTTGTAATTAAGTGTCAAATATCTCATGTAACTTATTAAATATTATACTAAAAGTGAAAAGCAAAATGGATGGATGGGTAATTAAAGTATGATTTCTATTGAATGTGTGTATTGCTTTGATCCCATTGTAAAGTTGAAAAATTATAAGTCAAACCATTGTAAGTGAGAGGCTGTCAGTTGTCTCATTATTGTATAATTGTACCTGGTTTTGATGAAAACCCTATCTTGATCACCTTTTTTTTTTTTCTACCAGATTTGGAATCATTGAATCAGTCACAGCACATCAAGGCTGAGTGTAATGGTGAAATAATTTAGTTTAAACCCCTTAGTTTCTGATGCGAAAGTGAAGGTCCTAATATCTTACTTGACTTGCCAAAGTTTAACTAAGTAATGATACTTAGAAGTGATTTCTGGTGGAAGCTATTTGCTAACTTGCTGGTAAACTTTGGCAAGTCAAAAAAAGGTGATCAAGATAGGGTTTTCATCAAAACCAGGTACAATTATACAGTAACGAGACAGCCTGGACATAAGACAAGAGAAGTTATGTTGATTTTATTCTTAATGGCCATTTTATTTGCAAAGATCTCAAATTATCTACCTTCATTAATTACCTTCATTAATCCCAACATCAAGAATGAAAAAGCCGTGTACCAACATGGAATGGTTAACTCTAAAGACTGACTTCAGACCCATTTATTTGTAAGCTGTCTTCTTCCACTGTAAGCAGTTTGAGGGCAGGAACCAATTCTCCATGGCTTTTTACGCCCGGTGGTACCTCACAGAATGTTCCGTCAGTACATTTTCTATAATTCTTATTTGAACAAATGAATGAGAATTTGATCTTGTCTTCTCTGAAAATCATTACATCTGAAAGCAGGCTCATAGTGTGCATGAAATGTAAATGCTTTGATTTCTTTTTATTGTAGGGTAGTATCTACTGAACTGACTACTAGGATTGAAATTTCTGTGTGGTTATCACTCCTTTTGGTGATACTGTACTGAATGACATAGAAGCCGATGAACTTCAGGCTCTCACAGAGGAAGGCTACAGTGCTACTTATTCTGTTTGAATTGCAGGAATCATAAATCCAGTTTTAAAATAAAGATGAATTAGGAAAGCTACAAATTACCATAATAAAAATTGAAGTGGATCCAAAAAATAAATAAGCAGTTTTCAGTATATAACATAAATCTATCACTGAGGCATACATACATACCTTTTTGTTTTTCTTTTCCATATATTGTATGTAAAATGGCGTTTCTCAGAGTAATGGGATTTCTTTGAAAATGGAATGGGTAAATGTGTGTATACTGCCTCAGCTGGATCAGCTAGGTGGTGATCCTTTTAAACCACTGGCAAAAATATCCCTTTCCGATGAGATCCATTTTTCCTTCATCTGGTAGGTCTCATGCCCTGTATAAATGCTTACAGCTTGTTTTGCACCACAAAAATTCTGTAGCTATAATGCAGTCCAGCTCCTTTTTTAAGAGTTTTTAAAAAAATTAATTCTTCTCCTTCCCAACCAGATGGATGTTGGAATCCATCTGATGGAATTTTTGTAAATACTCACAGCACTTATCAAATCCAGTGGCCTGAGGTTATGTGATACCTTAAGGACTTAGGAGAAAATATTTTTTTTTTTTTCTGTTAAGCAGTTCCTGGTGTTTGTCACAGGATAGTAAAAATGTCTCAATTCTTCGTTTTTAGATAACAATCAACAGAGACAGTGGTGAAGATGTAAGCTCCCCCAAACACGGGAAGGAGGACCCAGACAACATGCCTCACGTAGGCGGCAACACTTGGGCTGGCGGAACAGGTTGGTAGCACAGGCATTCTCCCAAGTCAGCCTTCCCGAGGCTTCCCAAGCCCATTAGGCCAGTGCACTGCCCCTGAGAAGACTCAGAGACTGGCTTTCCTTCCCAGCCTCCCTCATTACTCAGTTGGATTGTCGTCTTGCCCTCTGCCCCAGCAGGACATCAAGGCATGAAAAGAGCCTGGCATTTGGAGTCCCACAGGCTCTGCCACCCTGTGACCTAAGAACATGCTGACCCTCCCAGAATTCCTTCATCAGCTAAAGGGGAATAGTATGAAATACCTCAAGTTTTGGTGAGGATTAAAAGAGATTACGATTGTTAAGCACTGAGCACAATGCCTGGCATGAAGAATATTTTCACTAAAGTGTTAATTCCTTCTGTTAAATTCCATGACCTTGGGATCATGCCAGAAATCCATCGTAAATTCTTGAGCAACTGACTTTGAAAAGAAATGGTCCATGTCTTCCACATCTTAGAAGTATGTTGAGGATACAAGATTTTAAGATAAGGCTGGTTTCAGTCTAAGCCGAGGGCTGTGGCCGACTCCTTCCTCTTGGCTTCCCAACGAGGGTATTGTTCCCAGGACTGCCGTCTTCCTTTTTCCTCTGTGGCAGCTGGAGCAGACACATCTGCAAGGCCACAGGAATAGGGCCAGACTGTGTGCGCACTGTCTGAGCTTATCTCACTGTGAGGAGTGCTGGCAGGCGCTCTGTACTTCACCTTCCTTAGGATGGTCTGTGCCTCTTGGCCTTGACAACCTTGGGAGGAAATGGGTTTCTCTGCCAAGACAATGTGCTATCAAATAGGCCTGTGGACTTCTTGCCTACTCTGTTTATTCATCAAGCATCAGCTTTAAAGTAAGGCTATTTTTAAAAGTGTCCTTTGATCTGGAAGTTAGTGTCAAGCCAACAAGATTTCATCCACATGGAATGCATTGTGGAACGAGCTGGCCAGATGTAGTTTCCTAGCAGTGGACTACTCTGGGGGAAAAGCTCTTACTTGCTACCCAACTTGAATTTACTAATTCACATATCTGTCCAGACTGAGGCTGCATTTGTTTCACCTGGCCTTTCAGTTTTCGATTGAATATATTATATAGTTTCAATTGAATATATTATATAATTATATATTATTAGGATCAAGGCTCCTTGGCTTCAATTTCTCTTTTTCTCTCTGCCATTCTTTTCCCTCAGAATTCTTGACATTGAACTGAGCTCTGGCCCAACAAGTCATCTGATTCCCTTTCCTTCATCAATGCCCCTCCCTGGCCCATCCTCCCCATTATCTTCTGAACTGGTTTGGAATGTCCAGGGTTCGCTTTAAGACTATGCCCTGCAGTCTGAGAACCTCTGGCAAGCATTTTCATTTAAATAATACAAATGAAAGGCTCTGGGAAGTGGAGATCATGAAGATCACCTCCTGCTTCACTCCAGTGAGACTTTCCCCTGGGCCCTGTGACTCATGTGGCCAGTCACTCACACCAGCCTCTGACGGCTTCACCATTTTCTCCCTTTCACCAGAATGGTAACATCTCAGCACCTAGGAAGCGTTCAGCTCAAATTCATGACCCACCCATACTCAAGATATCTTCCTGTAGGAAAGGAGTCAGATCCCAGAAACAGCTTTTCCCCCTGTAGCTGACTGTCACTGTCCAGGTACTGTGATCCTCTGCCTATCGGCTGACCATGAATAAAAGGAGGGAATCACACACATCCCAGAAGGAGTTTTCCACCACACCTTCCTAAATAAAAGTGAAATATGTTCCAATCAAAAGATTAAAGTAGTGTAATTAATAGGTAGTTCTCATGGTATTTCCCAGAAGGAAATGACCTACCTGGACTTTCATAAGGAAAGCAGTTCATATTGAGTTCTTGGTTTTCATTTTATTAGACTAGTTAAAGCTCAGCGGTGAGGTAGGGGTAGGGGTGGTGATGGTGAAAGAAAAATGTAACATAATTTACCCAAAGTCTAAAAGCCTTCTAATTTTCCACTTTATAAAACTAGAAATTGCCTAATTCTGTGTAACTAGGTGTTTAATAATAATAGTACAAGCAGTCCATTATATAGCTTTTATTACGTGTCAGATATTGCTCTAAGCATTTTAGCTTCATGACCATCCCATGAAGTAAATAATATTAGTTATCCCCACTTTATAGAGAGGAGCCTGAGACACAGAGAAATTAAGTAATTCCCCAAGGATAAATGGCTGGTGGGTGGGAGTCAGGATTCAAACCCAGACAGTTTGGCTTAACTATGTAATATATTCTACAATACCAATGTATTATAATATACCTTACTGTACGATACTGCCCCTCCAATATTGGATTCTCTTCTAAGTTCTCAAGTTATACATGAATGAACAAAAGAAACTGGTTACTAATATTCTAACCTACCCCTAAGTAGGGGTAACAAGCTTATAGCTCAAAGGCCAAATCTAGCCAATACATGTGTTTTTTTCTCTGGTCCATGTAATGTTTTAAAATAATTTCAATTTGGATGTATTTAGACAAGGTAAATCCTCCCTAAGTTAGCTAATGTCCCCATCACTTTTTGTCATAAGACTTACCTGGCCTTACAGGCATTTACAATATGAACAGTTCATACAATGTTATGTAATAAAACGTAATATGTATATGTAATATACATATGTATATTATGTATATTATGTGAACTTGAGTTTCTATTGAAAGCCTGTTCTAAAGCAGGTGATGTTTATGTTATATATTGTTCAAACCAAAAGTCAAAGTTGGTGTAATAATTGGCTTCTAATCTTGGCTAAGCCAGTGATATGAGGTCATGAATATGTCATTTAGCCTCTCTGTGCATTATTTTTATAGTTTGCAAAACAGAAAATAAACAGTATTTATAGCCCGTCTGGGTATTTTAAGAAAAACTAAGGTAATATGGGAACAGTTGTTCATTTAATTAGCAAATGTATACTAAGTAGCTATGATATTCGAACCACTTTTATAGGAGCAGCAGTGCAAAGATAAATAAACTCTCATCCGTCATATAGTTGGTGAGAAAAAGAAGTAAATATGAAAGGATAACAAATAGTACACAAGAGTATCAATCCTTATAAGGTAGCAGCATTAGCTAAGGTCATAGAAGTTGGAGTAAGCCTTGGCATATAGGTAGTATTTGAATGGATGGGAAAAAGGAAAAGCATCCTAAACAGAATACCTCTTTTTCCAGAAAAAGGTAATTTGACTTTTTAATTACTAGTTAAGTATAGTTAATATCTTCCACAAGGCTGTACTAAAACCATGACCTGACTTTTGTTCTGAATTTCCATGTTTTCTTTCCAGGGGGAAGAGACACGGCAGGCCTGGGTGGCAAAGGAGGCCCTTACCGGCTGGATGCGGGCCACACAGTGTACCAGGTCTCTCAGGCTGAGAAAGATGCAGTTCCAGAGGAGGTCAAGAGAGCTGCTAGAGAGATGGGCCAAAGAGCTTTCCAGCAGAGGTCAGTGTTCCCATCACATTTAGACCAGCACTACTGCTGTGGTGAAATGTCACGGAGGACTATGGGGAAACCTAGATTTGTGTGCATTTCCACCTCATGCAGCAACTGGGACCTCAAACTGAAATCCACAGCCACCACCGCCTCCCGCAACTGAAACAGCCAAATAAACAAAATCTCCCATTCTTTCTACTCAGGCTCCTTAAAATTTATTCATCACATATGACTGCTGTAAAAGGAATTTAGCACATGAACAAGTAAAAACAGAGATATTTCTTGTAAAAGAAGTTAAACTAAAGCTCAGATCACTCCATACATGTCTGTCTTTTCCTAGGCCACATAGGGAATTCAGGTAAGTCTATGTGATGGTCCCTTCCTGCCCTCAGAAATCTTGCAGATTAGTGTGGAGACAGGACAAGGAAACACAAACACACACACACACACACACACACACACACACACGAAGTTAAATGCTAAAGTCATAGGGTGCAGAGGCTGTCCCCTCCAGCAGAGCAGAGAAAGGCAAGTTCAGTGGGCTGATGTGAGGTGGGGCCAGAGCTCAGCTAGGTTTTAGAGATGGGAAGAGAAGGGCTAGAATATTTCAGAAAGGGAAAACTAAATGAGCAGAGGCACCAGGGCAAGATGAGCATAGTGTCTATGGCAGAGAGAGGCAGCTCACCCACTCAGGATAAAGGGTACCAGCTGGGGAGGAAGAGCAGTGAGTTTGGATGGGGAGGCCTCATCAGTGAGTAGAGGCCTTAATCTAGGCCAATGAGCCTGTGGCCTTCGGACATTCCCTAGCTGTTCTGGGCCGCTCCAATTGGAGCCATTTAAAAAATAAGAAGAATGCACATGATGTTTCCCTAGACATCCACATGTGTGCTTCAGCTAAAAGGGAAAAATACTGAAGAACCACCAATATGTCCTTTCAGATTCCAGTAGTAGTTTGGGAAGCAGATTTACATTTTTGTGCTCCATGAAAGGAGCTGGGTGCAGTTAGAGAAAAGCATGTTAAAGTGTATGAGTTATGAAATTCCTCCCACGTAGAACATCTGGTATTACATTACATGCTGTGCTTCCACATCCTGCAAGTAAACAGTACAGGACAATAGAGACAAGAATGCAGGCCCTGCTGCCACACCCTCAGAAAAGCCTCCCAGCCTCAGACCCTCCAGACTTCAGCAGGTAAATAACACACTTGAGGCCAGAGGCAAGAGTGTTGCCCTCAGCCCTTCTGCTGGCTTCCCTGGTGACTGTTGACAGTTTATCTATCCTCTTTATGCCTGAATTTGCTCTTTTGGAGATAAAATTCACTCCCCCTTTCTCCCAGGGAGATTTTGAGAGCAGATAACTATGTTAGGAATGAAAGTGTTTAAACTTCTCAGAAAAAGGTAGAAAATATTGTAGTGAACTGTCTTGTTAGAATGAAAGTTCTCTACATTTCTTATGAAGTATCAATTATGAAGTATCAATTTAGGAAAAGAACCAAACAATTAGATATTTGTCATTCTCCCCTCCCCAACTAATGAGTGCCTGTTGTTGCCACCCATAAAACCTCCCAAGTAATTGTTCAGTCTAAATTTTCACCCAAGTGGACAGGTAGATAAGAGTGTTCTGGCACACACATAGTTCACAGGGAGGCAGAAAGGTAACAGTGCTTGGGTACAAGTACGTACCCCCTTCTTCTGTTGCCATAAAGGAGTAAGGATCGTGGTTCTGTTAAGGACCGTTGCCCCACAGGGTAAGAAGTCAAGGGACATCTGTGCTCTTAACGCAAATGAATTTAGCGGCTGTAAGAGAGGAAACAGAGGGCATGGGGAAGGGTTGAGGAAACTATACACCTCTAGTAAATGCTGCAGAGAAGAGTCTCAGCCGAAGTAAAAGAGAATACCACAAAGTGGTTGAAAGAGGAGTTGGGCAAGGGCGTGAGAAAGGAGAGGAAGAAATAGAAACACAATAGAGATCCTGAGAAAGATGGGGCAGAGCAAAACACCAAGAGAAAGTTGTTGCTTTCTGCTTTCATGTAAAAATGGGACTTTCAACCCATTTGATGAATATTTCATTTAATGCTGCTGAAAATTTTTTAACTTTTTATTATGGAACTCTTCAAACCTAAAAGTCAAGAAGAACATGTAATGAACACTGTGGACCCGACCCCACCCTCCCAGCTTCAAGAAGAAAAATCTGGCTCCACTCCTAGTCTTTTCTGCTGACTTGTTTTGAAGCTAATCCAAGACTTCTATCATTTCATTGTAAATATTTCTGAGTGTATCTCCATAACATAAAAACAAAAAAATGCAAATCCATAATACTATTATTACGTCTTTAAAAAGTAATAATTCTGGCCAGGCACGGTGGTTCAATTCTGTAATCCCAGCACTTTGGGAGGCTGAGGCGGGCAGATCACGAGGTCAGGAATTCAAGACCAGCCTGGCCAACATGGGGAAACTCCATCTCTACTAAAAATACAAAAATTAGCCAGGCATAGTGGTGGGTGCCTGTAATCCCAGCTACCTGAGAGCCTGAGGCAGGAGAATCGCTTGAACCTGAGAGGCAGAGGTTGCAGTGAGCTGAGATCATGCCATTGCACTCCAGCCTAGGTGACAAGAGCAAGACCGTGTCTCCAAAAAAAAGGTAAAATTCTTCACTATTATCAAATACTAAATTTTATAATAGTTTTGCCACGTTGGGCATATGCAGAATGAGGTCAGTTCCCACCATTAATGCTTTTATGGCACCCTGTCCCTTTTCTCCATAACTCTTATCACTCTTGCCTATTATGTGATTTGTGCGGATAGTTGATTGTCTCTCCACTGACTCTAAGTTCCTGGGGGGCAGGTATCTACCTGTTTTGTGCTCCAGCATAACCCCAGGACCTGCACCCAGAACCTGGTATGTGGCAAACCTTCATATGTATTTGTGAATGAATGATACACACATGCATACAAGTAATGGAATCATCCTTTAGTACTTAATTCAGAGACTGGCTGAAAGTAGACCTAGCTATGAGCTAGAAAGTCTGTGCTAGTGCCTTGAAGAGCCTAATGCTGCTAAGTGGGTTCCTGACATCATCAACACAACATTTTGATAGCATCTATTTGTATCTGGTTTTATGCTAGATACCAACCACTACATATCAAGAATATATTAACTAAGGCAGACTAACAGAGAGAGAGAGCAGCATAAAACATGCATAAAGTGGAACAGAAACATTACACCAATGAAAAGCACATGAAATAGCAGCAAGGTACATGTATACACTTAGAAAAGCGTTTAGGGAGGGAACCAGCTGTGGTGATTGTGTCCACTGCCATTTGCAAAACTAATCAGCCTCACACGGTGGATCTAAGCTTATGTTTGTTTTCCTTATAATTGATTCAAAATTATAGTATTTAAGTCTGACCTATAAGAAAAAGTAAAATGAGAACTAAAATTCCCAGACTCTTACGTAACAATAAATATACCCTTTAAAAATATACTGTGCCAACAAAATGCAGTTAGTCCACATAGATTACTAGGATGTGAAGCAGCTGTGCCCTGCAGTTTTGATCAGGGCTAAAGAAGCAGAAAGATGTATTTCCAGCTAGTTTTGTGGGCTTGAGGGTATTAGCGATGGGTACCTCATCTGATCCAGAGGCTAAAACTTTCCTATTTTCTTTCTATGTTCCCTGCTTCAGTCATCATCTTTCAAAATTTATCAGCTTTGAATGCCTTGTAGGTGACCTTTCTGAAAACCGACACAATCTGGAATATGGTTTCCACATTTCTTTATAATTAAAACAGCATGTGGTTGTTTTCGGGTGCAACGTGATCGCACCAATGGTAGCCCTGTAACTGGAGCTAATTCTGATCACTCTACAAAGACTAGTCTGCTTGAGGTGGCTTACCAAATGGCTGGCTCCTTCCTTGATATGTATGTATGTATGTATGTACATATGTGTTTCTATGTGTGTGTATGTTTGTATTGATGTATACACGTACAACCCATACCTCCGACATTGCATGTGCACACACACACATACACACACACAGTAATTTAGAAGAGTGTGTTGTGGTTAGGCTCTTGAGATATGTATTAATTATTCCCTGTCCTAATATCAGCACCTTTTATATTTATAGAAATATATGATTAAATTAGCACATTATGGATATAACACTGTAAAACCCAAGAGAGGTCACTCAGCAAATGAACTTTCTACTTACAGTTAGTTTAGATGCTGCATTTTAAATAATCCTGAATTGTATTTTTATTTCAGTCATTCATTTCAGTTCATTTTGAACACCCATTATATGTTAGGCACCATGCTATACATATATATATATATATATATATTCTCTCCTCCATCCCCTCCCCACCCCAAGGACAGCTGTGTCTACATTTGTTTCTAATCAGTGCTAATCTACCTTCTTTGAAAAGAAGCATATTGACAGGCACACACACCAGTTTAGGTATGAAGGGGTAGGTGGCATGTTCTGCAGTGTTTATTGTGCCCAGCTTCTGTCAGCCTTGATACTTGAGACATAACTTAATCTAATAAAAATTCATACAGAGATTTCAGAGACTGCCAGAAACTAAATACAAGAGGTATTGTCAGGGGGTCAAGTCCTGTACACATACTTCTTTCTGTTCTTCAGGACTGAGAGTTAATTAGATTTAGAAAGTAACCTTCGCATGTCACCTCAAGATTCAACCATTCAGATATTACAGTGGCCTGGTCTGTATTTCCTTTTTAATACCCAGTGTTTTCAAAGTGCCATCCAGCAGCACTTATTGAGTGACACTGTGTGCCAGGTATTGTGGTAAGTACTGAAAGTTTATAGAAAAAATAAAACATGATCCTTCTCCCTGAGGAATAGAATAGAAAACAATTTAGTACATACTATGTAATAAAAGTATTCTTCATTAAAATTTTGGTTCTGTTATACATATATACATGCATGCATTTGTGTGTACAAGATCTCAGAGTAAAACATTTCCTACTATGGAAAACAAAAAATTTGAAAACACCATTCTAAAGGGAAACAGTCCTATCTATTAAAGCGATAAAGTATGTGAGTTTCATGGTAGATGTCTGTAGAGGACACGTGAAAGGGGAATGGTAGGTTTTTTGCAAGGGCTCATGCAAGACTTCAAAGGATGTGGCCTTTGAGCTAGATCTTGAGACCTAAGCTGGTATTATCCAGTGGAGTGATAGGGCAGGAATGCCAGTCTGCCCCATGGTACTCTAGGCCTAGTATTACATAATTGTAATAAGCTTCTAGCACTCTGCCCCATGGTGAATGGATTTTTTCCAGTGCTCAGCCTTACAGGGAGGAATACAGACCATTTATTCTCATTCAATATTTGAGGTTTCTGTTTTAGCTCAAGGTGATTAAAAAAACACATTAGATAAGAGTTTCAGCTATACACCCAGGATTCATATCTCCAGTATTGCATGCATATACACACACACACACACACACACATACACATACACACACACACCACTTTAGAAGATTGCATTATGTTTGGGCTTTTGAGATATACATTTATTATTCCTTGTCCTAATATCAGCAACTTTTATATTTATAGGAATTTATAGAAATGCTTGGTTAAGATAGTGTATTCTGGATACAACACTGTAAAACCCAGGAGAGGTCACTCATTGAATGAACTTTCTACTGGTGGTTTAAAATGCTGCATTTTAAGTAATGCTGAGTTGTATTTTAATTTTAGTCATCCATTGCTATTTATTTTGAGCACCCATTATGTTAGGTTCCATGCTAGGCACTGTAAAGAGAAAGAAAGACTCAGCCCTTACCTAAAGGAGCACAGTGCCTAGATGGGGAGACCAGAGGCAAATAGTTACAGCATGGAGAGCAAATTCTCTGACTGAGGGAGGAGTGAAGTGTGATAAGAGTACAGAATAGAGACCCAGGGGTCAGAGGCTTTCTGGAGGAGGCTATCATTGACTTGAGTCTTGAAGGGTAAGTGGGAGTAATAGGCAAAGTCAGGGGAAGGACACCATGTTGAGAGAGAAGCCCTTACAGGGCATGTGATGTGTATGGGAGTTGCCAGCAGAACCAATTCTGGGAAGATAGAATTTCAAAGCCACAATAATGTTAAAACACAATTGTCCTGTCTAAATTACACTGTCAGCAATTTTAGAAAACTCTCACACAGAGATACATAGCAGCACATTAACTTACGTACTTTAGGCTTGAGCCGTTATCTTGGTCAACCAAATATATAATCTCAACCTTAAAAAGCAACCCATGGGAACCCTCTTAGGAATCTGCCACAGGAACTGATCAGCTGCGAACATCACAATATGGCTTTGGGATACAACAATGGTGTGCCATAGAGCCGATTCACACTGACTCATGAGAGCCAATTGTGCACATTTTTTTCTAATTCACTGTTCATAGCTTGTAATTTATCATGGTGGCAATATTTACATTATGAAAATCAGCAAACACCATAAATCAGGACTTTTTTCTTGTCCTAGTTTGTTAACCATTTACTAGCACACTATTGGATGTTACCTCCTTTGAATCTAGAAGCATAGCTGGAGACATCACTTCTTGCCTTTTCTCCTCAGCATGAACCTGAGTTTCCAAGGAGTTTGCTAAAGTTCTGGCAGGAGGTGAATGAAAGTGAAAACCCATATATACAGGATTTAAGCTGTTAACTTTTTATACTCCTCTGGTTTCAGGCTAAAGGAAATCCAAATGAGTGAATATGATGCTGCAACCTATGAAAGGTTTTCAGGTGCTGTTCGGCGACAGGTGCACTCCCTCCGAATCATCCTGGATAATTTACAGGTAATCTTCTACTTATAGACCAAGAAAATAACCTGGGCCCAAAGCTAGACATATTCCTAAAGTCTTGGAGAAAATTATCTGAACTCTTATCAGCCAGTCCTAAAAAATGTATCAATGTCAAAATGTCTGCATAAAACTGGACTATCCCCTGGCTTTCTTTTTGATCATCCAGGGATTATATTGTCTATGTCCCCTGGCTCCTCTTCCTTCTGCCCTCTCCTTGCTCCCACATTGCTTGCCCTTGTGCAGTTTCACAAAACTCTCAATACTAAAGAACCAGTTGGTACTGATACTGCTCCTGAAAATATTAAGACACTTCAGTATTTCCTAAGCATGACTATTGTTTGGAGATTTCAGATTAGAAATTGTGCTCTGGTCAGTTTGCACAAATAAATTAGGAGGGGTTGAGTGTTCCTTAAAATCACAAACAAAATCAGATTATTTTGTCTAATGCAAAGCCTCATTTCAGGACAAAGGGAGAAGTGTTGGGAGCCAAGCTGTGCCCTGCCTCTCCACTCTGCTCTGGAACCTTGTGTTGCTTTTCCATGAAGTATTTCAAGCTGATTGCATTTCCCTTTTTGGTTCTTATTTGAAATTGTCCTTTTGAGGGAAATTTTATTATTTTTGCTAAGTATGGGGGATTAGAACTTCTGTGATGGGGTTTTTAATCCACCATTTTAACCCAAAAGCTCTGGAAGAGACTTATTTTTCGAAAGGTCTAAACTGTATCCAGAGAGTAATAAAAGCTTTGTCATTTCCAAGAGGAAAGATCTTTATAATAATTAACCAGATGTCTAATTTCAAAATCTGAGAAATGTAAAAATTAAATCATTTGCTTTAAAAAATTCCATATGCGGTTATTTAGGATAAAACAGCATAATATTTTATATAAATTATGTGGACAACATGATGTTGAATGATTGGATTTTCTTACATAGTCACTCATTTGACAAGTATTCATTGCCCTGGACATTGACAGCCCCAGGACAGTGCCAGGTTGGCTCTGAGCTTCGGGGTAAGGCAATGGTTGTTGATGGGCCAAAATGGATGATTCAAAGGTGAGAGTAATGGGAGATGGTGCTTATACTAAGACTGGAGAATGAGTATGGTTCAGCGATTCACTCACTTCTTATGTTCTCAATGCACACCAGGCATTAGAGATAGAAGAATAAGATACAGCTTCTGCCCTCAAAGAAAGAACTCAAAGTCAACACTAAGTTCCTAAGTTCTATAGAGCATTTTGCACGCACTGCTATCAGACGAAATGAGGAAAGCCTTCATGGAAAATGTAATGTTTGAATTTGCTCTTAAAAGATGCTAAGGAATTTCCCATGTGCTTAAGGAGTCGGGGCACGTCAGACACAGGAAGCAGTATATGCAAGTTTACAGAGGTATAGGAGAGCACAGTGGGTTCAAAGAAGGATAGCGTGTTTGGTTTGGCTGAGAAAAACTCACTCTGGTGGGAGATAATGGCAAGGGAGGAGATTGCCAGATTTGTAGGCACCAGATCCTGAATAGCCCTGGATGCCATGAGAACATGCAGACCACATTGAATCTTACCCCTAAGGGCAGTAACAGAGGCCCTTAGAGGATTTGCAGTGCTAGAAAGGGATATTAGAATACATTTTTAATTGAAGGTATCAGATTTCTCATCTGGTGTTAGTTGATGTCTTGATTAGTATTTGTTGACAATGCTCTAGTTGCTTTTAGAAGCACTGTCATATTTAATCCTCACGTCAGCTCTTTAGATAAATGGTATCATGTTTATACAATCGGCCGGAAGATGAAAAGTCAGGTCCACTGCTGTGACTTCTCACAATCACACACAAATGAAGCCTGGGTTAGAATTAGAGTTAGCATCAAGGAATGGCTCTCCATTAATCACCACAGCAGTGAGACCAGTGTCAGAAAACAGTGTCCAGTTTTGCTTTCAGCTTTCAAAGTGAAACGAAAGAAAACTCTGAAGGTCTCAGGTAAAAGCAACAAATAAGGTTAAATGCATGGAAAACAAAGTAGCATCCATTTTTTAAAAATCATTCAAGGGGTTGGAGTCAATAACTTACTAAATATCCTCAACGAGAGTAATTATTTCAGGGAAGTTTTTATTCTCTTCCTCTCTGGAGATCTGAAAAAGAGAAAATAGTCTTAACTAATACCAAGACAGAGTTTTAAGTTTTAACATGAAAGCAATTTAATCCTTGAATAAGTGGCTAAAATCAATGCAGAATTTTCATCTTTAGAAATCTTCACAAACAATACCAGCATTATATAATAGCAAGCATTTACTGAGAATTTGTCATGCACCAGGCATTCTACTGGGTGCTTTACATTGTCATCATCACCAAGATCACCTCCATTGTTATTGTCATCCTCTGCAGCCACACAGCCTGGGTTCTGTAAAATGGGAATGACAAATAATAGTGCGTTAGTGAAGAACACAGATGATATGCATAAACAGTGCCTAGCATGTAGCATTCTCTGCAGAAGGATTTGCTTCACCGTTACCTTCATTGTCCTTGCTAAGATTTATCTAAGATTTACCCAGTCAGGTACTTTACATTCATTATGCTATAATCTCTACAGAAACCAGTATGTATAACTTTCTACATTTGATAAATGAGGAAACAGAGACACATACATTGTCTCAATTATCATAATCCTATGAAATATGGGTATTTTGCCCCCACTTTATAAATGAGAGATCTGAAGGTTAGGAAGATGGTGTAACCTGTCCTGGGTTGTATGGCTTGTAAGGCAGGTGTCTGGGTCCAAAGTTCAGTTTATTATTATTTGTTGGGATCTCTGTTCTCTTCTTCAAACTCATCAATTCCATGAAAAGCGTATTCTTATATATACTCATTTTGCATCATTATCCAAATGCCACACAGCATTTTTCAAGTGTTTTCCTTATTGAGTCTTTATTTTATTTTATTTTTTTGAGACAGTGTTTTGCTCTGTCACCAGGCTGGAGTATGGTGGCGTGATCTTGGCTCACTGCAACCTCCACCTGGCTTCAAGCGATTCTCCTGCCTCAGCCTCCCAAGTAGCTGTGACTACAGGCGCATGCCACCACACCCAGCTAATTTTAATATTTTTAGTAGAGATGGGGTTTCACCATGTTGGCCAGACAAGTCTCAATCTCTTGACCTCATGATCTGCCTGTCTCGGCCTCCCAAAGTGCTGGGATTACAGGCGTGAGCCACTGTACCCTTCCCTGAATCTTTATTTTTAATCCGTAGGGGAGTTATTCTCAGATGGGCCTTCTAGTCCTCAATTTAGAAAGCTAGGGCTAGTTAAAATCATAGCTACTGACCAAGCAGGGACATGGCCTTGTGTAGAATATGGAACTTTAGATTGAAAACAAAGCAAGAAGCCTTTGATTTGGTCCCATTTTTGCCATCTTCTGCCAGTCCTGTGTGGTTCCTATTGACTAATATCTTCCAGCTGTTTTGAGGTTGCTATGTAATCCAAATAACCATGGGTGTTTCCTTGGTGAACAGCACAAAGCTTGGCCAGGAACTAGAAAATCATCACTTGACATGACTTTCCAAAGCACAGCCTTAGGCCCACTCATTGATTCCAGGTGGGATTTGAGGAGCAGGAAATGCTGTTGCCACCTATGTTAATGTCTGCTTTAACATGTGCCTATGTTGCAATACATGTCTTTCTTCTCAATTAAGATAGCTATCACCAGTGACTTTCCTTGGCTTCTTTGAGTTATTGGACCTTTTCTTTTTTCTGAATCGATAGCATTAATTTTCTCATCAGTCCACAAGAACTTCCATTATACTTGGTTCAGAATCTCAGTCTCCTATTGCAGCATGCATGCCCTAACAAAAGAAAACATACATTCTTACAAAAAAAAAAAAAACACTTTAATTGTATCTTCTCTCCAATGTTTTTCTGATCTACAATCATAATTTCATTTTCAAGCTAAACTAAATTAACCTTTCTCTGATTGCTGTGGCCAGCATGATATCTCCATGAACCAACAATTATGTTCCTTTTTTCCCCTGTGGTGTTTCAAAATAAGCTTTTGTTCAGATAAATAGTGCTTTAACACTGATTGTGACACGTATATTGTATGGCACTGAGGGCACAGAGATTGATAACATAGTGTCCCTGTACCAAGAAAATTCTGCGCTTGAGGGGCAGAGAAGACAGACACCTATAGAGATCATTCCATTTCACATGATAAGTCCCTGTATAGAGGGAAGCTTAGAATGTAGTGGAGCCCAGAAGAAAGGGTTTCAAGGATAGATTTTGAAGGTAAGGTACATGACCCAAGTCTTGAGAGACACACAAGTATTAACCAGATAGAGAAGGGTGGAAACAAGAGGCCACAGCACAGACAGATGCATGACACTGTGTGGTCTCAGGCATGAGCTGAGAGCTGGTTATGGCTTCTCTAGGAAGTGTTATAGCCATGGAGAAGAAAGTTTCAGACACCAGAGAGGTGGAAGCTAGGAGACTAAATCATAAAACAGTATCAGTTATTCAGATGAGAAGTGACAGGAACCTGAACCAGGGTAATCAAAATGAAAATGGAAAGAATGAGACAAATTCAATAAGCAGTTTGGACATAGGACAAAAAGACAAGTGATGCTGAATGTGGAGGTTGTCAAGCCCTGGAGGACAGTAATAGGGGACACAGGAAGACAAGACACTTGTGAAGAAAGCAAATGTTTGCTTTGGATGTTAATATGTTTTCTCACTATTAGGACACCTACGTAAAGATATCAAGCATGTTTAAAGTTTTTTAAAACCTGCATGTGGAGTTCAGGAGCAAGGTGAGGACTTGATAGGATTTCATGTGTGTATGGATATCTATATATGTATTTTTGTGGTCATCTGTATAGAGGGACAGCCCAAGCCAAGAGAAAAATGTGTCAACTAAAGCAAGAGTGTAGGGCAAAGAGAGGGGAAGGGTGAGAACAGCTGTGTCAAGGAACCTCTGCATGTCACAGGAGAGCAGCAAAGTGCCGGCTACTCTTTCTTAG